CGTAAAAAACATTAAACAGTAAAAAAAAAAAATCGAACATTGAACATTAACATTGTAATACGGTGTTGATGTTGTGTTGATGTCGTGTAGATGTTGTGTTGATGTTGTGTGTGTTACCTGTTCTCTTCTTCCAGTAGATGTGCACCTGTAGGTCTCCGTTCTTGTAATACGGTGTGCTGATGTTGTGTAGATGTTGTGTTGATGTTGTGTTGATGTTGTGTAGATGTTGTGTAGATGTTGTGTAGATGTTGTGTGTGTTACCTGTTCTCTTCTTCCAGTAGATGCGCACCTGTAGTTCTCTGTTCTTGTAATACGGTGTGCTGATGTTGTGTTGATGTTGTGTAGATGTTGTGTAGATGTTGTGCAGATGTTGTGCAGATGTTGTGTAGATGTTGTGTAGATGTTGTGTGTGTTACCTGTTCTCTTCTTCCAGTAGATGTGCACCTGTAGTTCTCCGTTCTTGTAATACGGTGTGCTGATGTTGTGTTGATGTTGTGTAGATGTTGTGTAGATGTTGTGTAGATGTTGTGTGTGTGTTACCTGTTCTCTTCTTCCAGTAGATGCGCACCTGTAGTTCTCTGTTCTTGTAATACGGTGTGCTGATGTTGTGTTGATGTTGTGTAGATGTTGTGTAGATGTTGTGCAGATGTTGTGCAGATGTTGTGTAGATGTTGTGTAGATGTTGTGTGTGTTACCTGTTCTCTTCTTCCAGTAGATGTGCACCTGTAGTTCTCCGTTCTTGTAATACGGTGTGCTGATGTTGTGTAGATGTTGTGTAGATGTTGTGTAGATGTTGTGCAGATGTTGTGCAGATGTTGTGTAGATGTTGTGTTGATGTTGTGTAGATGTTGTGTAGATGTTGTGTAGATGTTGTGTGTGTGTTACCTGTTCTCTTCTTCCAGTAGATGCGCACCTGTAGTTCTCCGTTCTTGTAATACGGTGTGTTGATGTTGTGTAGATGTTGTGTAGATGTTGTGCAGATGTTGTGCAGATGTTGTGTAGATGTTGTGTAGATGTTGTGTGTGTTACCTGTTCTCTTCTTCCAGTAGATGTGCACCTGTAGTTCTCCGTTCTTGTAATACGGTGTGCTGATGTTGTGTAGATGTTGTGTTGATGTTGTATAGATGTTGTGTTGATGTTGTGTTGATGTTGTGTAGATGTTGTGTAGATGTTGTGTAGATGTTGTGTAGATGTTGTGTGTGTTACCTGTTCTCTTCTTCCAGTAGATGCGCACCTGTAGTTCTCCGTTCTTGTAATACGGTGTGTTGATGATGTGATGATGTTGTGCAGATGTTGTGTTGATGTTGTGTAGATGTTGTGTAGAAGTTGTGTAGATGTTGTGTAGATGTTGTGCAGATGTTGTGTAGATGTTGTGCAGATGTTGTGTAGATGTTGTGTAGATGTTGTGTAGATGTTGTGTAGATGTTGTGTAGATGTTGTGTGTGTGTTACCTGTTCTCTTCTTCCAGTAGATGCGCACCTGTAGTTCTCCGTTCTTGTAATACGGTGTGCTGATGTTGTGTAGATGTTGTGTAGATGTTGTGCAGATGTTGTGCAGATGTTGTGTTGATGTTGTGTAGATGTTGTGTAGATGTTGTGTAGATGTTGTGTGTGTGTTACCTGTTCTCTTCTTCCAGTAGATGCGCACCTGTAGTTCTCCGTTCTTGTAATACGGTGTGCTGATGTTGTGTAGATGTTGTGTAGATTTTGTGTTGATGTTGTGTAGATGTTGTGTTGATGTTGTGTAGATGTTGTGTAGATGTTGTGCAGATGTTGTGTAGATGTTGTGTAGATGTTGTGTAGATGTTGTGCAGATGTTGTGTAGATGTTGTGTAGATGTTGTGCAGATGTTGTGTAGATGTTGTGCAGATGTTGTGTAGATGTTGTGTGTGTGTTACCTGTTCTCTTCTTCCAGTAGATGCGCACCTGTAGTTCTCCGTTCTTGTAATACGGTGTGCTGATGTTGTGTTGATGTTGTGTTGATGTTGTGTAGATGTTGTGCTGATGTTGTGTAGATGTTGTGTAGATGTTGTGTAGATGTTGTGTAGATGTTGTGTAGATGTTGTGCAGATGTTGTGTAGATGTTGTGTAGATGTTGTGTAGATGTTGTCTGTGTGTTACCTGTTCTCTTCTTCCAGTAGATGCGCACCTGTAGTTCTCCGTTCTTGTAATACGGTGTGCTGATGTTGTGTTGATGTTGTGTTGATGTTGTGTTGATGTTGTGTAGATGTTGTGCTGATGTTGTGTAGATGTTGTGTAGATGTTGTGTAGATGTTGTGCAGATGTTGTGTAGATCTTGTGTAGATGTTGTGTAGATGTTGTGTAGATGTTGTGTAGATGTTGTCTGTGTGTTACCTGTTCTCTTCTTCCAGTAGATGCGCACCTGTAGTTCTCCGTTCTTGTAATACGGTGTGCTGATGTTGTGTTGATGTTGTGTTGATGTTGTGTAGATGTTGTGTAGATGTTGTGCTGATGTTGTGTAGATGTTGTGTAGATGTTGTGTAGATGTTGTGCAGATGTTGTGCTGATGTTGTGTAGATGTTGTGTAGATGTTGTGTAGATGTTGTGCAGATGTTGTGTAGATGTTGTGTAGATGTTGTGCAGATGTTGTGTAGATGTTGTGTAGATGTTGTGTAGATGTTGTCTGTGTGTTACCTGTTCTCTTCTTCCAGTAGATGCGCACCTGTAGTTCTCCGTTCTTGTAATACGGTGTGCTGATGTTGTGTTGATGTTGTGTAGATGTTGTGTAGATGTTGTGTAGATGTTGTGCAGATGTTGTGTAGATGTTGTGTGTGTTACCTGTTCTCTTCTTCCAGTAGATGCGCACCTGTAGTTCTCCGTTCTTGTAATACGGTGTGCTGATGTTGTGTTGATGTTGTGTAGATGTTGTGTAGATGTTGTGTAGATGTTGTGCAGATGTTGTGTAGATGTTGTGTGTGTTACCTGTTCTCTTCTTCCAGTAGATGCGCACCTGTAGTTCTCCGTTCTTGTAATACGGTGTGCTGATGTTGTGTTGATGTTGTGTAGATGTTGTGTAGATGTTGTGTAGATGTTGTGCAGATGTTGTGTAGATGTTGTGTGTGTTACCTGTTCTCTTCTTCCAGTAGATGCGCACCTGTAGTTCTCCGTTCTTGTAATACGGTGTGCTGATGTTGTGTTGATGTTGTGTAGATGTTGTGTAGATGTTGTGTAGATGTTGTGTAGATGTTGTGTAGATGTTGTGTAGATGTTGTGCAGATGTTGTGTAGATGTTGTGTAGATGTTGTGTAGATGTTGTCTGTGTGTTACCTGTTCTCTTCTTCCAGTAGATGCGCACCTGTAGTTCTCCGTTCTTGTAATACGGTGTGCTGATGTTGTGTAGATGTTGTGTAGATGTTGTGTAGATGTTGTGTAGATGTTGTGTAGATGTTGTGTAGATGTTGTGCAGATGTTGTGTAGATGTTGTGTAGATGTTGTGTAGATGTTGTCTGTGTGTTACCTGTTCTCTTCTTCCAGTAGATGCGCACCTGTAGTTCTCCGTTCTTGTAATACGGTGTGCTGATGTTGTGTTGATGTTGTGTTGATGTTGTGTTGATGTTGTGTAGATGTTGTGCTGATGTTGTGTAGATGTTGTGTTGATGTTGTGTTGATGTTGTGTTGATGTTGTGTTGATGTTGTGTAGATGTTGTGTAGATGTTGTCTGTGTGTTACCTGTTCTCTTCTTCCAGTAGATGCGCACCTGTAGTTCTCCGTTCTTGTAATACGGTGTGCTGATGTTGTGTAGATGTTGTGTAGATGTTGTGTAGATGTTGTGTAGATGTTGTGTAGATGTTGTGTAGATGTTGTGTAGATGTTGTGCAGATGTTGTGTAGATGTTGTGTAGATGTTGTGTAGATGTTGTCTGTGTGTTACCTGTTCTCTTCTTCCAGTAGATGCGCACCTGTAGTTCTCCGTTCTTGTAATACGGTGTGCTGATGTTGTGTTGATGTTGTGTTGATGTTGTGTTGATGTTGTGTAGATGTTGTGCTGATGTTGTGTAGATGTTGTGTAGATGTTGTGTAGATGTTGTGCAGATGTTGTGTAGATCTTGTGTAGATGTTGTGTAGATGTTGTGTAGATGTTGTGTAGATGTTGTCTGTGTGTTACCTGTTCTCTTCTTCCAGTAGATGCGCACCTGTAGTTCTCCGTTCTTGTAATACGGTGTGCTGATGTTGTGTTGATGTTGTGTTGATGTTGTGTAGATGTTGTGTAGATGTTGTGCTGATGTTGTGTAGATGTTGTGTAGATGTTGTGTAGATGTTGTGCAGATGTTGTGCTGATGTTGTGTAGATGTTGTGTAGATGTTGTGTAGATGTTGTGCAGATGTTGTGTAGATGTTGTGTAGATGTTGTGCAGATGTTGTGTAGATGTTGTGTAGATGTTGTGTAGATGTTGTCTGTGTGTTACCTGTTCTCTTCTTCCAGTAGATGCGCACCTGTAGTTCTCCGTTCTTGTAATACGGTGTGCTGATGTTGTGTTGATGTTGTGTAGATGTTGTGTAGATGTTGTGTAGATGTTGTGCAGATGTTGTGTAGATGTTGTGTGTGTTACCTGTTCTCTTCTTCCAGTAGATGCGCACCTGTAGTTCTCCGTTCTTGTAATACGGTGTGCTGATGTTGTGTTGATGTTGTGTAGATGTTGTGTAGATGTTGTGTAGATGTTGTGCAGATGTTGTGTAGATGTTGTGTGTGTTACCTGTTCTCTTCTTCCAGTAGATGCGCACCTGTAGTTCTCCGTTCTTGTAATACGGTGTGCTGATGTTGTGTTGATGTTGTGTAGATGTTGTGTAGATGTTGTGTAGATGTTGTGCAGATGTTGTGTAGATGTTGTGTGTGTTACCTGTTCTCTTCTTCCAGTAGATGCGCACCTGTAGTTCTCCGTTCTTGTAATACGGTGTGCTGATGTTGTGTTGATGTTGTGTAGATGTTGTGTAGATGTTGTGTAGATGTTGTGCAGATGTTGTGTAGATGTTGTGTGTGTTACCTGTTCTCTTCTTCCAGTAGATGCGCACCTGTAGTTCTCCGTTCTTGTAATACGGTGTGCCGACTCCCAGAGCGCTCGAGGGTTTTTTCACAGACACTTTCCTCACTTTAGAAACTGCCTCTAAATCAACATTCGAGAGATTAAATATTACTATGATCCATACATTACTCATTACTAATACCCTACTAATGAAACCGCTGATTTCTTTTACTTCGAAACAATTTCACTTAGAAACTCCTAGTAAATTTCACAAATAATTACAGAGAAATGGGAAGTAAGCTTGAGATAAAGCAGAATGAATTGCACTTAATTTAATTAATTATCATATTATTGGATTTTATTGAATTTAAAGTGAAATTTTTAAGTAGAAAGACGTTGTAAAACGTGCTCTTTGTTTTATTCACAACTTCATTAAAAATCATATTTTACAATGTGTGCTGAGTCTCTGAACACAACAACTCAATCAACATTAATATTCTAGACGTCTAGACTTATTCTAATATTCGAAACTTAGAGTTGATAAGTTCGATTAATTTCTGTGAATCAGTTCAATCGATTCGTATGACCTGTTAAATTGGTGGATGTATATGAAAGTTATTAAATATGAAAATATGATTCATCCTTGGGTTTATTTTAGTTAAAGACACTTTGACTATTTACACTTTACTTTTACCATATAAATACTGTATATACGGTCACACTTTAGTTTAGGGTCCAGTTCTCAATATTAACTATGACTTTTGCCTCAATAAACTCATAATTTCTGATTATTAATAGTAAGGTAGTTGTTAAATGAAGGTATTGTGTGATTAAGGGATGTAGATTATGATCATGCAGAATAAGACATTAATATGTGCTTTATAAGTACTCATAAACAGCCAATATCATAATATGCATGATAATAAGATACTAGTTAATAGTGAGAATTGGACCCTAAACTAAAGTATCACCATATCGTTATTATTATATATTCATTTTATTAATTTTTTAAGATTTATATGAAAATACATATTAACATAATTGACTAAATTAAGGATTTTTGAGCATTAAATATGGGAAATAAAGTGTTCTTCCATCATGGTCCATCAAATAACTACAATTATTAAATAAATAAAAATAAAATTATTAAAAAAATTAATAATTAAAATATTTTAAATTAAATAGTCAGTTATATATATATTTATATTGGGGATGAACCGATATAAAAAAAATTGTCTGATAACCGATAATTCTTCATATTTGAAAGCCGATAACCGATATATTGGCCGATAATCAAAATCCAAATTCTTATGTCATTTTTGAGAGTCTGATTACAAAAACAAAAGTCTCGTCATTAAAATCCACATCCCAAACACACAATTATGATGTTCTTATTATAATGTTATGTAGCCGATATCACAGACTTCCGCTGCATCTATTTTCCTTTTCAAAGTGATTCCAATCATATTTCAATCAATTCAAAACCATAATGTTGAACAGTGCGCATCTGAAGAGTCTCAGCTGAAGGAAATAATACAATACAATATTTTTATATTTATCGAATATTATATCATATCAATATATCAAATATTTATCGGCTTTAATATATCGGCCAAATTTTCTAATCAGGCCGATAACGATAACATTAAAAATATATGCATATGTGAGGGATAATCCGCACTGTGCATTGAGCGACTGTAATGCACGACGTTATAGAGATTATATTATTATTATCTGACTTTACTGACGGTTTTACTACACACCTTCCAGCCAATCAGAGTGGCGTATTCAGACAGACTATGGTAATAATCATATTCCCTCATGAGATCGTGCACTGATGATGATGATGTCGTACTTGACTGAGTGTGTTGTTGTGTGTCGATGTGAACGGAGGCTTTGGCACTCTTGAGTCGGCGCTGACCCCAGTACGACACGGCCTGGACCTCCACTGAGCCACTGCAGTTCCACTGAAGCCCGTCCAGAGCCGTCCAGCGCTCCGCCTGCAACACACACACACACACACACACACACACACACACACTCGTTTACATGCCTTCATCAACCAGACCCGTCCAGCGCTCCACCTGGAACACACACACACACACACACACACTCGTTTACATGCCTTCATCAACCAGACCCGTCCAGCGCTCCGCCTGGAACACACACACACACACACACACACTCGTTTACATGCCTTCATCAACCAGACCCGTGTTTCAATGCACTGCTTCAGCATATCTGTGAATTATTTGTTATATATTTAATATATATACTATATCTGACATATAATATATAATAGATTCTGAAATATTTAATTAAATTTTGATGATTATGGCTTACAGATATGAAATCCCCAAATTCAAAAGTAGAATATTGTGAAAAGGTTTTCATATCTGTAATCCATAATCATCACAATTATAACAAATAAAGGCTTGAAATATCTCACTTTGCATGTAATGAGTCTATATAATATATTAGTTTCACCTTTTAAGTTGAATTACTGAAATAAATGAACTTTTGCACCATATTCTCATTTTTCGAGTTTCACCTGTACATAATATATTTGACATTTAATATGACATTTATGTCTGACATATATTTCATATTTTTAACATATTAGGCATATATTTAATACAAAACATATTTAATATATTTGACTGCCTTTTTAATATATTACATATCTGACACATATTTAAAATATAATATTTTTGACATGTACTTAATATATAACACATATTTAATATATAATATATCTGATATATATGTAATATATAAAATGTTTAACATTTAATATATATAACATATTTCATATATAATATATTTGACATATGTCATATATTAAATGTATTTGAGATGTTATATATTAAATATATGACATATATTTGACATTGACATTTAGCAGGTGACATTAAATATATAACAAATTATATAACAAATAAAATTCAAAGCAGTACATTAACAAATATGATTTTTATGGAATAAATAAAGTTTCTAGACATGCATAAATGTGATTTTTTTTTGTTAACGTCTTCTATGTGTGTGTGTGTGTGTGTGTGTTTTGGCTCCTGCAAACATAAATGACATAATAACACAATGAAGAATCTCCGAGCAGACGTTGCTCTTTAGTGTAAGTGTGTGTTTGACATGAAGGCTGTATTCTGTGAGCGTGTGCAGACCTCACACTGATGTGTTTATCAGGAGCACATGTCTCCTGATCACTGCATTCCTCCGCAGCGGGAGCTTGATCGGGTTAGCTATTAAACCGGTTAGTTTGGGCATTCCTGCATCAGCGGGTCGCTAACTCCACACACAGATCGTGTGTCGGAGATCATGAACACACTCGCTGTCGGGTTTGTTTGGAGAGTTTCAGTCGACAGCTTTAATATGTCATGTTTTACTTCTGCTTTATTTCAACACAATACACTCAACTTCTGTTTCTACTTTAGCAGAATGGTTTGAGACTTTTGTGGGACTAGTTATATGGACCCAGAAAAACTGTGGACATGATTAGAAAACGCTAAGTGGATCGGCATTGGAAATAAATGGGAAATACGGAGCAATTTTGGGGGTAAAATCTACAAATCGATGCAGTTTTTGATAATGTCTAAATATACACTCACCGGCCACTTTATTAGGTACCCCATGCTAGTAACGGGTTGGACCCCCTTTTGCCTTCAGAACTGCCTCAATTCTTCGTGGCATAGATTCAACAAGGTGCTGGAAGCATTCCTCAGGGAGTTTGGTCCATATTGACATGATGGCATCACACAGTTGCCGCAGATTTGTCGGCTGCACATCCATGATGCGAATCTCCCGTTCCACCACATCCCAAAGATGCTCTATTGGGTTGAGATCTGGTGACTGTGGAGGCCATTTTAGTACAGTGAACTCATTGTCATGTTCAAGAAACCAATTTGAAATGATTAGAGCTTTGTGACATGGTGGAAGTAGCCATCAGAGGATGGGTACATGGTGGCCATAAAGGGATGGACATGGTCAGAAACAATGCTCAGGTAGGCCGTGGCATTTAAACGATGCCCAATTGGCACTAAGGGGCCTAAAGTGTGCCAGGAAAACATCCCCCACACCATTACACCACCACCACCAGCCTGCACAGTGGTAACAAGGCATGATGGTTCTATGTTCTCATTCTGTTTACGCCAAATTCTGACTCTAACATCTGAATGTCTCAACAGAAATCGAGACTCATCAGACCAGGCAACATTTTTCCAGTCTTCAACTGTTCAATTTTGGTGAGCTCTTGCAAATTGTAGCCTCTTTTTCCTATTTGTAGTGGAGATGAGTGGTACCCGGTGGAGTCTTCTGCTGTTGTAGCCCATCCGCCTCAAGGTTGTGCGTGTTGTGGCTTCACAAATGCTTTGCTGCATACCTCGGTTGTAACGAGTGGTTATTTCAGTCACTGTTGCCCTTCTATCAGCTCGAACCAGTCTGGCCATTCTCCTCTGACCTCTGGCATCAACAAGGCATTTCCGCCCACAGAACTGCCGCTCACTGGATGTTTTTTCTTTTTCGGACCATTCTCTGTAAACCCTAGAGATGGTTGTGCGTGAAAATCCCAGTAGATTAGCAGTTTCTGAAATACTCAGACCAGCCCTTCTGGCACCAACAATCATGCCACGTTCAAAGTCACTCAAATCACCTTTCTTCCCCATACTGATGCTCGGTTTGAACTGCAGGAGATTGTCTTGACCATGTCTACATGCCTAAATGCACTGAGTTGCCGCCATGTGATTGGCTGCTAAGAAATTAAGTGTTAACGAGCAGTTGGACAGGTGTACCTAATAAAGTGGCCGGTGAGTGTATATTCAAATGCAAAACCAAATAAAAGCAAGTAATTATGTCTGAAAATACTTGTCATTTCAATTTCATTTCAAGTTGTGGTTGTGATGCGGTGAGATTTATGTTTCTACTTTAGCAGAATGGTGACTTTTGTTATATGGACACAGACAAATTGTGTAATTTTTTTAAAATTGTGTAAAAAGTAAAATGATAAATAAATGATATATTGTTTTCTAAAAAAAAAAAAAGAAACAAAAATAATCTTAATTCTAATGGAAAACAAGAAAAATAATCGTAATTCTAATGGAAAACAAGGAAAATAATCTTAATTCTAATGGAAAACAAGGGAAATAATCTTAATTCTAATGGAAAACAAGAAAAATAATCTTAATTCTAAAAACAATAAAAATAATCTTAATTCTAATGGAAAACAATAAAAATAATCTTAATTCTAATGGAAAACAAGGAAAATAATCTTAATTCTAATGGAAAACAATAAAAATAATCTTAATTCTAATGGAAAACAATAAAAATAATCTTAATTCTAATGGAAAACAATAAAAAATAATCTTAATTCTAATGGAAAACAATAAAAAATAATCTTAATTCTAATGAAAAACAATAAAAATAATCCTAATTCTAATGGAAAACAATAAAAAATAATCTTCATTCTAATGGAAAACAAGAAAAATAATCTTCATTCTAATGGAAAACAAGAAAAATAATCTTAATTCTAATGGAAAACAATAAAAATAATCTTAATTCTAATGGAAAACAATAAAAGTTATCTTAATTCTAATGGAAAACAAGGGAGATAATCTTAATTCTAATGGAAAACAAGAAAAATAATCTTAATTCTAATGGAAAACAAGGAAAATAATCTTAATTTTAGGGCTGTCAAACAATTAATCACGCTTAATCGCATCCAAAATAAAAGTTTGCGTTTACATAATATATGTGTGTGTACTGTGTATAATTATTTTGTATATAAATGCACATATGTATATATTTAAGAAAAATATGTTATTTATATATAAAATGTTTATATTTATATAAAATATACATTATATATAGGCTACATTCAGTCTATATACAGTATATACATGCAAATATTTCTTAAATACACATGCATGTGTGGGTATTTATGTATTAAAAATAATTATACACAGTACACACACATATATTATGTAAACACAAACTTTTATTTTGGATGCGATTAATCGTTTGACAGCCCTACTTAATTTAAATGGAAAAACAGGAAAAAAATGTGGAGTTGATTAGAAAACGATAAGTGGATCTGCATTGGAAATAAATGGGAAATAGAGCAATTTTGGGGGTATAATCTACAAATCAGCAACGATGATGCCTTGATAATGTCTAAATATATATCCAAATGCAAAACCAAATAAATGCAAGTAATTATGTCTGAAAATAATTTCAATTTCATTGTAATTTCAGTTGTGGGTGTGATGGGTAGTTCAATTATTTTCAGGCAAATGGTTCTTTTGGACTGTTTGTTTCAATGAACCGATTCACTAAACTGCAAAACGTACTTAGTATTTTTTTTAACTTGGAATTTAAAAAAATTCTTAAATCAAGAAGAATTTACTAGATCAGTAAAATTATATTACAGAAGAAATTATATATTGTTTTTAAAAGAAAAGAACAAAATGAAGTGAGTTTTTGCTTAAAACAAGCAAAATTATCCGCCAATGGGGTCAGAAGAATAATGTTAATTCAAACAGAAACAAGATTATTTTTCTGACCCTATTGGCGGATAATTTTGCTTGTTTTAAGCAAAAACGCACTTCATTTTGATTTATTTCCCCAGAAAACAAGACATAATACCGTATTTACTAAAGTAAATGCCTCTTGATTTAAGAATTTGTAGATATTTGGACTGGAAACAAGACAAACACACAGAGTGAGAAAAGCATTTTTGCAGTGTGTGACTGAATTCGAATGTTACATTCCCTTGAGATCATCAGACACGTTAAACACAGCTTGGATGGAAACGTCAGGGAATCCTCCATTACCCCGTCGATGGTCTTCCTCCTCTTCCTCCGGGGCGCCGGGGATTGTCCCGGGACGCTGCAGGTCCAGGAGACTCTGAAGTGATGAACGGGAACATCGGATTCTGCCGGAAGAGTCCAGTCGAGTCGAGCGCTCATCAGACCCTCGGGACCCAGCGTGAGGTTAGAGGCCCTCAGTCCCGCAGGGGTCGCAGGAGGAGACGGGTCTGCACACACACACACACACACCTCTGTTAGATGGAAAACAACACACACACACACACACGCTACTTATAAGCTTGAAAGTCATAATTACGGTGTGATGTGCGTTCATGTGATTACAGTTGGATGGAAAACAAGGATGGATTATGATCCTGTGAGGCCACACACACACACACACACACACACACACAGCAGATGATGTTTAAATAACAAGAAATTGCCCTGCCATATGAGAAATAACGTCAGAATTAACAAAGTTGCAATTTGCTAAATAAATGTTTACAAGATTGAAGACTGGAGTAATGATGCTGAAAATTCAGCTTTGATCACAGGAATACATTTAATTTGACCATATATTTACATAGAAAACAGATGATTTACATTGTAATAATATTTTACAATTGTTACTGTATTTTTGATCAAATCAAGAGAACAGTCTCACTGCCACTACATCTGTGTACAGCAGGGGCGTCACTAGGATTTTCATTTTAGGGGGGCTAAGCCCCCAATATGATTTTTTTTTTAAAAATAAAAAAATGTAACACTTTAGTTTAGGATCTAAAGATCACTATTAACCATTTTCATTACGATGCAAAGGCACGGTTTTATAATAACTGTGGTCCCTAATGTGAGGTAGGGCAAATAAGGGGGTTCGGGGTCTCCCCGAGAAAATTTTGATTTCTCTGATCTACATATGTGCATTTTAAGATGTTCTGAAGGCCAAAAAACTTGGATAGTGGGCAGCTGATTATTTTTCTCTCCTCATCAGCATCACACTCTTTTTCTCTTTGTTTTTATCTTGCCCTGTCTCTTCCCCTCCTAAAGCTGAGCTTTGACTGATATAGGCTTTTCATTTTTGTCTGTCAGTGAAGAAAGTAAACATAGGGTCAATTGATAGGTTGATTTTGCCTATGAATCATTTTCTCAGACGCGTTTATTTACTGAAAGCTACTAAAGGTAATTACGTTTATTAAATGCATTCACAATATGTAGGCTACACATTTATTATTGATCTTATGCCTAATACAGGGCCGTAGACAGGGCTTTATAATCACAGAGGTCCTAAATTTGAGGTTGGTAGGGGGTTCAAATTTTTTATTTCTCTGATATGTGCATTTCAAGACGTTTGAAGACCAAAAAAAGGATAAGAAATAGCTTTAAAACCATGTCAGTGGGCAGATTATTTGTCAATACCTGCTCTCTTCTCATCTCCATCACTCTTTCTTTTTTTCTCAGTCTCTTCGTCCCTTTCTCTTCCCCTCCTAAAGCTGAGCTTTTTTAATTTACTAAAGGCTACAATTTGTATTATATCCTCAATATGTACACATTCATTATTAATCTTGTGCCTAACATGATGAAAACGGCTTTGTTAATGTTTCTTGTAAACTAATTATTACATTACATGAGTCACGTTACAGCCTATTTTCAGTTCAAAATGGCGAAATTAGACAAAACTATATTAGTTTGCCTGATTATTTTTTGTCATTCGTTTAACATTTATGACCTAAAAAAAGTAAAATATGAAATGTTAAGTTTAGCTACTTACATCTTATCTCGCACTTGACCGTACGCGTCGAGTCGCACTGTTAAAATTCGCGCGCAGCAGCATCTGTGAACATAAAGCCCGCCTACTTTGATTTGATTGGTCATCTCAAATATTCTGACATTAACGAGCAGTGACAGACCAATGAGGCTCAGATGAACACACATGAACACACACACACACACACACACACACACACACCCTGTCCTCTGTTTCTGACGTGCTCTCTGCTCGGCGCCGCTGTGGATTGAAGATGAAGAACGCGCTGAATCTGATTATAACAAGACTGAAGCGAACACGAATTTGTGTAGCCTACATTAATCTCACATTTTTAGGGGGGCTAGGCAGAAGTTTAGGGGGGCTGAAGCCCCCCTAAAAAGGGCCTAGTGACGCCCCTGGTGTACAGTAAGAGCAGAGCAACAGGAGTCAGTTATTAGAGGAATGGGTCAAATATGGACAAACTCAGCTGTTGGGTTAAATTTTCAAATTACATTTTCAACCCAACGTTTGGGTTTGTCTATATTTGACCCAAAATTGGGTTAAAACAACCCAGCATTGTTTCGAGCGTATAGAATCACGGGAGAAGTAAAGCAAACAAATAAAAAGGATTATTTGTCTCATTTAAGCTTTTCTAAATCAGGCGAACGACGGCCGTAAAAACGTATTATACACATATATTATTATTTATTATAATATATTTATATATAATCTAAATTCAAAATATAGTAACAAAATCTATAATTGTAGATTAGTGATACTAAAATAACAATTAGAGGAGCAAAAAATAAATGACAGAATTTGAAATATTCCTTTAATAAAGTATTTTATGATGTATTTCTACAAGGCAGTGTTTTCACTCGTCTAATAAACTGCATTCATGAACGTAAATGATCATATTTCCTAAACTCTAAAAAATGCTGGGTTGTTTCAACCCAACTTTGGGTCAAATATGGACAAACTCAGCCGTTGGGTTAAATGTTTAAATTATATTTTTAACCCAACATTTTGGTTTTAAACTATAAACTACTTTAAACTAAGTTAAACTATAAACTACTTTAAACTAATTTAAACTTCAAACTACTTTAAACTTCTTCAAACTTTGCGGTCCAAACTTTCACAAGCCAACTTAAAGTTTGTCTCGACGAACTTTTTCTTACTGGCTCTCGGAAAGAAGGGAATTGGAGAGACCGGATCCTTTATCAAACCATTTCGAGATAATTCAAGATAATGCAGTTTGTTTGTTTTTTAACCTAGTTCTACTCAATGCAAATATGGTATATTTGTATAGAGGTTCTGTTTTGTCATTACACACTGAAGACAACAGTTTCTTAATTTGATTTAAAAAAACAAGCAGTACACAATAAGTGTTTTTCACAATATAAGAAAATGGTCAATAATACATGCAATCATCTTCTCTCAGGTTCTCCAAAAGCTTGGCAAGGCAGATGATTTAACCCAACATTTTGGTTTGTCCATATTTGACCCAAAATTGGGTTAAAACAACCCAGCATATCACGAGAGAAGTGGATTTGAACACCCAAGCAAACAAATAAAAAGGACACGTTATTTGTGTCATTTAAGCTTTTCCTAAAAAAATTATAATAACATCATACGGGTTTGCAATAATATGAGGAGCAATAAATAATGACAGAATTTTTATTTCCAAGTGAAATATTCCTATAATAAAGTCTTTTATGAGGTATTTCTACAAGGCAGTGTTTTCACTCGTCTAATAAAGTGCATTTATGAACCGATTTTGAATGTAAATTATTATTTTTCCTATAGAATCACGGGAGAAGTGAATTTTAACACCCATGCAAAATATATATATATATATATATATATATATTATATATATATATATATATTTTAACAAATAAAAAGGACCCTTTTTTTGTCTTATTTAAGCTCTTCTACATCAGGCCTAAATGGAGGCTCTGTGATCGACGGCTCTGTCGTAAAACTCGTGAAATATTCCTTTAATAAAGTCTTTTATGAGGTATTTTCTAATAAACTGCATTTATGAACGTAAATTATCATATTTCCTAAACTCTAAAAATGCTGGGTTGTTTCAACCAAACTTTGGGTCAAATATGGACAAACTCAGCCGTTGGGTTAAATTTTTTAATTACATTTTTAACCCAATGTTTGGGTTTGTCCATATTTGACCCAAAATTGGGTTAAATTTGTCTAATTTAAGCTTTTTCCTAAAAAATAATAATAATAACATCATACGGGTTTGCAATAATATGAGGAGCAATAAATAATGACAGAATTTTTATTTCAAAGTGAAATATTCCTTTAATAAAGTATTTTATGATGTATTTCTACAAGGCAGTGTTTTCACTCGTCTAATAAACTGCATTCATGAACGTAAATGATCATATTTCCTAAACACTAAAAAATGCTGGGTTGTTTCAACCCATCTTTGGGTCAAATATGGACAAACTCAGCCGTTGGGTTAAATGTTTAAATTATATTTTTAACCCAACATTTTGGTTTGTCCATATTTGACCCAAAATTGGGTTAAAACAACCCAGCATTTTTTAGAGTGTATAGAATCACGAGAGAAGTGGATTTGAACACCCAAGCAAACAAATAAAAAGGACACGTTATTTGTGTCATTTAAGCTTTTCCTAAAAAAATTATAATGACATCATACGGGTTTGCAATAATATGAGGAGCAATAAATAATGACAGAATTTTTATTTCCAAGTGAAATATTCCTATAATAAAGTCTTTTATGAGGTATTTCTACAAGGCAGTGTTTTCACTCGTCTAATAAAGTGCATTTATGAACCGATTTTGAATGTAAATTATTATTTTTCCTATAGAATCACGGGAGAAGTGAATTTTAACACCCATGCAAAATATATATATATATATATATATATATATATATATATATATATATATATATATATATATATATATATATATATATTATATATATATATATTTTAACAAATAAAAAGGACCCTTTTTTTGTCTTATTTAAGCTCTTCTACATCAGGCCTAAATGGAGGCTCTGTGAACGACGGCTCTGTCGTAAAACTCGTGAAATATTCCTTTAATAAAGTCTTTTATGAGGTATTTTCTAATAAACTGCATTTATGAACGTAAATTATCATATTTCCTAAACTCTAAAAATGCTGGGTTGTTTCAACCAAACTTTGGGTCAAATATGGACAAACTCAGCCGTTGGGTTAAATTTTTTAATTACATTTTTAACCCAATGTTTGGGTTTGTCCATATTTGACCCAAAATTGGGTTAAATTTGTCTAATTTAAGCTTATTCCTAAAAAATAATAATAATAACATCATACGGGTTTGCAATAATATGAGGAGCAATAAATAATGACAGAATTTTTATTTCCAAGTGAAATATTCCTATAATAAAGTCTTTTATGAGGTATTTCTACAAGGCAGTGTTTTCACTCGTCTAATAAAGTGCATTTATGAACCGATTTTGAATGTAAATTATTATTATTTTTCCTATAGAATCACGGGAGAAGTGTATTTTAACACCCATGCAAACAAACAAAAAACAAAACAAAAAAAGATATATATATATATATATTTATTTTATTTTTTATCAAATAAAAAGGACCCTTTATTTGTCTTATTTAAGCTCTTCTACATCAGGCCTGAATGTCGGCTCTGAACGACTGTTGTAAAGTCGTGTCAAAAACGGGCCGCTGGAGCAGAGATGAAAGGCTTGCACCTGCCGGCTCCGTGAATCCCGTGGGATCGCAGCTGTCCGAGGCCACCCGGGAACACTCACCTCGGGAGGACCGGAAGTGTTTGCTGGGAGCCGTGAACCCGCGAGTGCCGTGGACATTGACCGACGCCACACGGAACTGGTACCAGCGGATCGGCCTCACGTCGCTCAACACGACCCGCTCTTCAGCAACCTGAGGGCACAGAGGGTCAAAGGTCACGGACAGGGGTCACGGGGTCACGGACACGAGTGCGGAATCTGAGCTATTTTAAAACATGAAAGAGAACGAGAATCTCTTTATTTAACATGCTTTTGTTTACAAATATTTTCTATCTCAGTGTTTCTGTCTGAAATCGAGATATATTTACTGGAGAAGAAGCAAAATGACTAAAGATATTAAGTCTTGTTTTCTGAAAAAATTTGGTGATTTTGTGCTTAAAACATGAACAAATATCTGCCAATGGAGTCTGAAAAATAATCTTTGAATTAAGTTTATTTTTCTGACCGCATTGGCAGATTTTTGTTCTTGTTTTAAGCACAAACTCACTTCATTTTGATTATTTTTGCAGAGAACAAGACTTAATAAAAGACAGTCATTTTACTTCTCCAGTAAATGTATCTTGATTTATGAATTTTTAGATATTTTTGCTGGAAAACAAGACAGAAAATTGTTTTTTTGCAGTAAATCATTCTGAAATTGTGATTTTGACTCTTTGAATCAAAAAGCAAATCCAATTAGGAGACACTTAAAAGTTGTCAGATTTATTTCTATTGCACTTTAAACAATATATTGCTTCCCAAAAGTAAAAATTCAACAATTATGAACTAATAAAGCTCTACAATACAGCATTAAGATAATAGTGTCATTATTCGGCTCAGCTCAATTCAGTTCAACAATTGTCGACGTTGCAAATTCTATTATGAAATTAATTCAATTTCAGTGATAAAGCAGCAGTAAGAAGACAATAGTGTTGTTATTCAGCTCAATTCATTTGAAGTTTTGTTATCCTCAAATAGTATCAGTGCAGTGAAATCGATAACATTACTAAATATTAATTGTCTTTTTAAAGGTGAAGTATGTAGTTTATTCTATTATTACAAAAATAACTCAAACATCACAATGACAGTTGTTACGGGTGTGTGAAGACATGATACAGGTAAAAGATTCAACAAAGGGTCCAACATACACTCTAAAAAATGATGGGTTGTTTTGACCCAAAATTAAATAGGGACAAACCCAAACATTGGGTTAAAAAGTTATTTTAAAATTGAACCCAACGGCTGGGTTTATCGATGTTTGACCCAAAGTTGGGTTGAAACAACCCAGCATTTTTTAGAGTGTATTAGAAATACTTTTAGCTGTTTTGCTATGTGTCATAAGTATTAGCAATTGAGTATCTAACACACAAACATAAGCCCATTATAATAAACCCATCCAATGGGGGATTTTTGGACAGTTCGGTATGTGCTGTGTTCAGGGAAAAAAGGCCTACTGTCAAATAAATATAAAGAAAATAAGAACAAATAATCAAACTACAAGCAACAGCACAAATAAATACAATAGAGCAAAGATACTAATAAAATAAACAGTGCTTTTCAGGTTTTTCAGGCAGGTCTAACATTAGTTTTCAGGTACAGAAATTGAATAAAGTAATCAAAATGTAAAATAACAGTGCATATTTGACTGTATAAATGAAAGATTATTCCTTTTTAAAGTTAAAAAAGATGTTCAATCCAGAGCTGTGAGTGAGTTCCTTGTCTTTTGTTGTTTGATTAACATTAGAAACGCAGACAGCAGGAATATTAGGTTACTGTCCCTTTAAGACACAATGCACTGATCCAATACACTGATACACATGCATGTCTTTCGGGACCGTATACGTTCACTCAAAGCATAGCAGATTATGAGTGCGCACGCTTCGGATGAGTGCACACACACACACACACACACACACACAAGCTCTTGTAGCTCCGCCTCCTGTGCCGGGAGCAGCGGCTCATTTGCATTTAAAGGGACACACACAAAAACGGCGTGTTTTTGCTCACCCTCAAAAAGTGACAATTTTAACATGATATAGAAAATATCAGTGGGGTTTTTAAGCTAAATCTTCACACACACACTCTGGGGACATCAGAGACTTATTTTACATCTTGGGAAAAGGGGCATTATACCACCGTTTTAAAGTTGCATGACTGGTACATTCGGGGCGAGAGGACAGACCTGTGCCACATCCAGCCACTGGGTGGCGTCGTCTTCGCTGGGGTGGATCCCGAAGTTCCAGCGCCGCTGCAACACGTAAAGCACCGGCTCCACCGAGACGTTGAACCGCGACGACCAGCGAACCTCCAGTTTTCCCGACGGATGCTCCCAAAACACCAGCTCCTTCCGCGGCTTCAGGGGAGATCCTGCGAGAGACAACAACACACACTAAAATAACACTGAATAACAACCTAAATATATCTTTAAAATGTGCACATACAAAATTTATTCATACACATTTCTCACATTATCACAGTTTATTCGCTGTAGTTTAGAAAATGGTAATGAAATATGACCAGAAGAACTCAGTGTATATTTGACTGGTTTTGTCCGTCCTTCTGTTAGACTCTCACACATGAATTATGTTGAATATCTGTCAGCTGTTAAATTTAACTACACAATTAGAGAATACCAGTTTAGCTCAACCAGTGACCAAGCAATGCTTCATGTTGTTCAGTGTGTGTGTAAAAAGAGCATTAGCGATTACAGAAAACACTATTTTTTTAATAATTGTTACTGGTAGTCACTGTATGAAGAATATTTGGGTATGTCACAGTTTACTTTATTTTGCTCTCCTCACTTACATAAATGAACTATAGTGTCCTGAACACACTAGTAAAAAATTATCAAAAATAATATCTGGTGTCTGAATAATTTTTGATATGACTGTATATTTTCATTTAATCTGATCTTTTGCTTTGTGTCCAAATAAAAAGAGAAGATAATTCAATATTTTATTTGCAATGTATTTCATTCACTGGATTAGACAAAAATAGACATTATCACATGATTGTTTAAAATATAAAATTGTTTAATTGAACATGCAATGATTGAAAATAACTCATGATAAAATTATGATATAACGACACCGACGCTCCCATCTGCTGGAGACTTTAACCCTCAAAGACATTAGAAAGTCTTCCATATGTAATAAATGAAAGGTTTATAAAGTACAAAGCCGTGAGAGAGGAGCACATGTTCTGCTCCGCGTCTCTCCTCGATTGGTTACAGCTGTGATGAAGAACGAGGAAGATCTTACACACACTCCATCAATCAGCTCGACGTCTTCATCGTCCACAGGACAGGGTTATTAGAGTTCACTACAACTAAACCCATCAAACGCATTTCAAGCGCTACTCGAAAGAAAATAAATAAATAAAAATTCAATATAGTTAATTTTTTTAAACAACTTTTTGTATTTTTAAATATGACAAATTAGGGATTATTTTTTTCATTAATTACCAGTTTATAATTTGAATTTAGTTATATTTATTCATCTAATATTTAATATTTAATTTTATTATTATTTTTATTTATTATTATTTCACTTTTCAGGGATATATAACCGTTAACTGAAACAAAAAGAATATATATATATATTGTAGATGAAATATACTGTGTAATGTGTAAATGTAAACTAGATTAAATTAAATAAATACAAATGAAATGAAATTTTTCTTATATATATAGAACATTTTAAATTCATCCTAATTTGAACTTAATTCATTTCATCTAATTGGCAAAGTAATAAAATGAATAAAACTATAAAGATATTTAAAAAAAGTAAAGCATAAGCAAAAATTACTAAAAAATTACTAAACCTAAATTAAAATGAAAAAAAGAATTCAATGTTAATAAAAACTATAGTAGTATCAGTAATATTTATATTTTATTTTGTGTTATTTCATTTTTCATGGATTATAATGAACTATATACACCTTTAAAAATACTACAAAAATACTATAAAAGCAAAAACAAACAAAAATTACTAAAACCAACTAAAATTAAAACGAAATAAAATATAAAAAAAACAAAATACCAATAAAAAAATCTATTAGTATCTGTAATATTTATATTTAATTGTAATGCATTTATTACTTCACTTTTCAGGGATGTAAGAGTCAACTAAAACTAAAATCACGAAAAATATTTTTATTACTTGAAATAAAATAAACCTTAACTGACATAAAAAATATATATAAAAACCAAACTTATTATAAACATTTTCTTTTTCTTTTAGTTTAGCTTGATGTACTAAAACTGAAACTGAAACAAAACTGATACTATAAAAATAGATATTTTCTTATAAAAAAATATAACAAAAAAGCTAAACTAAGAAATTTGAAAATATAAAAACTATAATAGTATCAGTAATATTTATATTTTATTTTGTGTGTTATTTCACTTTTCAGGGTTATTATAATTAACTAAATGGACATTTTAAAAGAATCTATTAAAAAATACTATTAAAAGCAAAAACTAACAAAATACTGAAACTAACTAGAATTAAAATTAAAAAATAAAAATAAAAAACTAATTCAAAATATGAATTAAAACTATAATAGAATTTCAATGATACTTAAAATATCACTGGAAGAGGATCATCTTAATAGCAATGACATGTTGTCCTGAACATCTTGGCTGCATTAAACTCAGATGGAGAAATACAACATGAACTTTTCCACCGTGGATGAAGAAGACGAAGGCCTGAAACCCTGATCTCAGTGATGTTGAAGAAGCTGAACAGCATCTGTACTGGATTGAGCTGCGGTTTCACAACTACAGCACGTGTGTGTGACGTCTGATCCCACAGACTAACCGCTCCTCACACACACTCCTACACTCGCTCCGACTGAGATTCACCCGTAACCACACACGAAGCCTCCACAGGTGCACGTCGTCTCCTTCCAAACACATTGCAGGCGCTTCATTCCTGAGTCCTTTCCCAGGGAATGCATGAACTAAAGAAATGCAGATCTTGAATGCAATGATAAAAGTTTGTGGAGCCGAAAATAAAACCGGCACTTTGACCTCCACACGAAAACAGCAGAGGAGGAAGATTTTACTACGTTTATGCATATATACGTAGATTTACATATGCATTTGGCATACTCTTTTATCCAAAGTCATTTTTTGAGCTAAAACTTCACACACACACTCTGGGGACATCAGAGACTTATTTTACATCTTGGGAAAAGGGCATTATACCACCACTTTAACAGCATGATTCTAGCATGATTTAACATGTTGCTTGTATGTTTCTTTCTGATCAGGATCAGGTCTTCGTCCGTGAGATCACACACACACACACACACACACACCTGAAGGGGGTTTATTCTGAGATAACAACCGGCTGGATGTACATTATCCCACTTATTACTCAGCATTTCACCACATAAATAATTATGGAGATCAGAGATATTGATTTCAGATTAAACTGTTTTATAGTCGCACCTGTTTGTATCTTATAATCCAACAGTGAACAAAACAATAGACACAAAATGGCCGCCGCTGCGTTTGTATGAAACGAGAGAGAGCGAGTCTACGATACTGGATGGCATAATTAAATAACTCTACAGAAAATATTGATTCGACTGAGTTTTAATATTTTATTAACTCACCAAAAGCAAAACTTCCATGAAGAAAAGCCGTTCCTAGCGAGTGTGTAGCGCTGATGTCTTCAGTGACCGGATGAGTGTGTGTTTCAGCTGTTATCTGGGAATAATACACCGCTGGATGTGTGATTGACCAATCAGAATCCAGTATTCCACAGACCCGTGTAATAATCAGTGTTAATATGTTTCTGAAGCCGAGAGACTCGCAGGGTTACAGTCGCTCCCGAGGAACATCTGAGAGCGATCGAGAACACGAGGAACACTCAACGCTCGATCGAGCCTGTTAATGGTTTCCAGCATCTTCACCAGAGCGACGACACACAGAAATAATCACGCTTCTGACACCAGAGAATCAGCCTGATTGAGTTTGGATTTTAATAAAAGGCTTTATGACTTTCTGCAAATGAGGGGGAACCAGTAAATCTGACATTAATAACGATCGTGCAAGACAAACCGTAACGCTTCCTTCGCCTGCTTTCAGGGGTCACGTTTCAGCTTATTGTGTAAGTATGATAAAAAATACAGTAAAAATTGTGAAATATTATTAGGATGTAAATCATCTGTTTTCTATGTGAATATACAGTAAAGTGTAATTTATTCCTGTGATCAAAGCTGTATTTTCAGCATCATTACTCCAGTCTTCAGTGTCACATGATCCTCCAGAAATCACTCTAATATGAGGATCTGATGCTCACTATTATTATTGGTGCTCAATTATTAATAATAGCTCTTTTTATTAATATTGAAAATGTTTTTGGTGAAATCGTAATACATTCTTCTTTGATTAATAGAAAGTTCAAAAGAACAGCATTTGAAATAGAATCTTCTGTAACATTATTAATATACTGTATATATATATATATATATATATATATATATATATAAAAGGCTGCATTTATATGATCGAAAATACAGTAAAAATTCTGAAATATTTTTACAATGTAAAACAGCTGTTTTCAATGTGAATATATTGTAAAATTGTATTTATTCATTGATGCAATGCTACATTTTCAGCATTATTATATATACACTACCGTTCAAAAGTTTGGGGTCAGTGAGAATTTTATTTTTATTTTTTGGAGGAAAGAAATCAATACTTTTATTTATCAAGGACAGTAAAGACATTTATAATGTTACAAAAGATTATATTTCAAACAAATGCTGTTCTTTTGAACTTCCTATTCATCAAATAATAATAATTTAAAAAAAAAAACTGTAACTGACAGACCAACAACTGTTTCAACACTGATAATAATAATAAATGTTTCTTGAGCATCAAATCCTCATATTATACTGATTTGTGAAGGATCATTTGACACTAAAGACACTGACACTGGTGATGCTGAAAATTCAGCTTTGATCACAGGAATAAATTACACTTTACTATATATTCACACAGAAAACAGCTGATTTACAGTGGAGTAATATTTAATACTATAACTGATTTTTGTTGTATTTTTAATCAAATAAGCGCAGCCATGGTTAGCAGAAGAGAATTCTTTTAAAAGTATTTAAAATCGTACCGACCCCAAACTTTTGAACGGTATTGTATATATATCAGTCTGGCGAGTAACCCAAAAACCTCATTATTTTACTTCCATACTAGTGCTGAGAAAGAGTGTGTACCTCTATAGAGGTTCTTGGGGGTCTGGCAGGTGTGTCCGCATCCATTGGGACAGCATTTCTTTATAGTCGAGCACTCGTTGTCTTCCTCACAGCTCTCGACACAAGCCGCTGCGAACCCACTGGCTCGATCCGGTGCCGGACACCCGCCCTGCTTCAGCGACTCCACCGAACGCAAGAACTCGCAGCTCGTCAGACACTCGTAGTGCTTCTTCGGGAACTGAGTCTGAAACCAGAAGCATGCAACACCATTAAAGGGGCGGGTGGTTATGATTTCACTTCTCTAGCTGTAGTTAGTGTGTAATGTTGCTGTTTGATCGTAAACAACATCTGCAAAGTTACGACGCTCAAAGCTCAGAGCAAAGGGAGATTTTTGCTTTTAAAGAAATCGCTTTTTAAGGACTACAACACACGGCTGGTAGAACTACACGAGCTTCCTCCCGGGTTAGTGACATCACCAACCCTAGAATTTGCATAAACCCCGCCCCCAGGAATGTGATTTATAGATTATCATGACAGAATATGCTAATCAATGATTAGAAGATCACTACACATCAGCTACATAAATTCATCAACTAACATTCAGAAATGTCCTGTTGCTTCTACATGTCGTCACTTCTTCTAGAGTCTCTCCATGTTTGTCCGACTCCAGTTTGAACATAAAAGGCTAAAAGTTTTTGATATTTTCAGTGTGTGTCTGTGTGAGGTTATCGGAGCTGCTAACACACACTAACACACTAACACACACACACACACACACACACACACACACACACACACGCAAGCTCTTGTAGCTCCGCCCCCTGTGCCGGGAGCAGCAGCTCATTTGCATTTAAAGGGACACACACCAAAACGGCGTGTTTTTGCTCTCCCTCAAAAAGCTGCAATTTTAACATGATATAGAAAATATCTGTGGGGTTTTTGAGCTAAAACTTCATAAACCCACTCTGGGGACATCAAAGACTTATTTTACATCTTGATCTTGGGAAAAGGACATTATAGGACCCGTTTAAACAATGATTAAAAGAGCAATAGTTTAACGCTGTGGAAACGTCTCGTCTCGTCTCGTACCTCACACAAGTCCTGACACTGGTTCTCCTTCAGGTCCCATGAGGCCGTGCAAGGCTCCAGACACTGGAAGAGAAGAGCAAAGAAGAGATTAGCACATCCCGAAGAAACGGGAAGAGAAGGAAAATCAGAGACGTGAACCACAGATGCTTCATGTTTCACGCAGACCAGGGTTTTTCAGACTTGGAACTGCAGAGCGTTTGTGAGTTGATGAAACACTGAAGCTGATAACTAATTCAATTATATAAATGTAAAAATAAATCAATTTTAAATATTACACTATTATATAAATGAATTCATAAAAAATGTATAATTAAACAAATAATAAAAAGAAACTAAATAAAGTTTCTTATAATTAAATTACAAAAACGTAAAATTAAACAAATAATAATGAAAAAAAAATTGCTAATGATTAATTAAATAATAAAAATGCAATATTTGAATATATAAATGTAAAAACAAAGAAAAATCTAAATAAAACACTAATAATAACATGTTAAAAAGTAAATTAAACAAATAATTTTACAATAAAAAACATACTAATCATTTATAAAATATACAAATAATTTTTAGATAAAATAAAATAATTTAAATATTTTTTAATGATTTTAAAATATTTTTATCATTTTTAAAGTTTTTTTATATTTTTTTATTATTATTATATTTTTTTAAATTATACTTTTTTTATTTTTTTTAAATATTTTTTAAATATTTTTTCAAGTATTTTTAATTTTAAAATAAATACAATCAAGATAAAACTTAAACGATAAAAATGCTAAATTAAAATAAATACATTTTTAATAAAAAGAAATAAAACAGTTACTAATGATTCATTAAATCATAAAAAATGCTAAATAAAAATAAATTAATTTTAAAATGAAAAGAAATCAAAATAAAACACTTAGTACTTAAATAATAAATAAATAAAATTAAACAAATAATGAATGCAATCAAAATAAAACATAATTAATGTTTAATTAGAATAATTAGATAATTAATTAGAAATAAAAAAAATAATAAAGGGAATCATTGATAATGATTTGGATAATAAATATTGCACTGTAATATTACACATAAATATTTAAAATAATAATATGACTTCAGATGAAGATGGATGATCAACAATGTAACAGAAGAAAGCATGAGCGTAAATCACTCAATCCTCCAGAAACCCAATACACTCCTCAACAGAGTCCGAATCCCAGATGCTGCTGTAACAGGGGAACTCATTCCTCACACACACACACACACACACACACACACACACACACACACACACACACACACTCATTCCCAAACCACACCAGCAGTGCCAACACAAAGAGTCTTCAACTTCAATCTGCTCACGGATCACTTACGCTTTACAGCACTGACTAAAAACTTAGGACTTTCTTTCATGCAATTGCAAAAGAATGACACAAACTCTGAATCAAAATGCATCAATGCTATATTTTTCTAAATGTCATAATCATTTGTTAACAAACAAGTATGCATTACGGCAATGAGCTCATCGCTTCTGCATTAAATTATTACATTGCTTAAATTAATACCTTTATCTAACTGTGATTTGTATTTGTACATTTCTGAAATGCATAACTCAGGCAGTTTCCTCTGATAACAGATCACTGTTGTAATATTGACTCATGCATTTTCTGTAAAGCTGCTTTGAAATGATGTGTATTGTGAAATAAATGTGAATTTAAAAAAATTTGAAAAAATCATATCAAAAAAGTCCGATAAGCTTCCATTGTGCAAAACATCAAACCAGTCCCGGCTCTTACATGACGGATAAACCAGTGCAACAGACAGTAACCAGTGCAAACACACACACACACACACACACACACACACAAGTGATGCAGTGAGAAGTGCTGAGTAAGTGCGCTGACCCGTTTATGGGATTTTAATTAGCTCATTAGCGGCGCTGTCGTTATTCTGCTGTTGGCAGGCAAACGTTTGTCTGCTGTTAAATAGAGTGTGAGACTGAAGTCAAACATGAGCGAACGATGCGGTTTGGCTTCGCATTCACACACTGATTCAACAGCATTATTAATAACAGCAGCTTTAATAACACAGAGCGGGACGAGCGACAGGTTAAAGCTGCAAAACCACAATCACAATACGGATTAATCTAATCTAATCTAATCTAATCTAATCTACAAAAATGCATGCGTTTTCTGCCAAAATAAAAGCTCTATGGTTTAATGTTTGAAAATGAAGATATTAAGGGAGTATTAGTAATTTTACTGTTGTACTGTATTGTAAAATAATAATACTTAGCATTATATTAATGTTTAAAAATTAAGAAATTATGACAGCCAAAAAAAATTGTATTAGTAATTTTACTGTTGTACTGTGAAGCTAATAATAATAATAAGTATTATTATTATTATTATTATTATTATATTAATGTTTAAAAATTAGGAAACTATGACAGCCATAAAAAGTAGTATTAGTAATTTTACTGTTTAAGTGTAAAATAATAATAATATTAATACAATAGTAATAATAATTATTATTATTCTCTAAAAATGAAGAAACTACAACAGCCAAACAATATTAGTCCTAGTAATTTTACTGTAATTTTACTGTACTGTAAAATGAAATAATAATAATTATTATTATATTATATTTTTTACTTAAAAACAGCTTTTTTATTTCACAGTGAAATATTATATTTAGTATTTTATTTAATAATAATAATAATTATAATAAAATAAAACAACAACAATAATACAAATAATAATTATTTTTATTATTATTATTAGTCAAAATTGATATTTAAATGACAAAGACTTTACCCAAATTGTGCAGTCCTTCAAAGCAAACCTGGAGCTTTTAATTTCAAATCGCAATTTTTATCAGAAAAAAAACATAATTCCCCCCCAAATCAAGCAGATTTTTACTGACTGACTCACTAATGAGTCTATTTAGATTGAACTGATTCATTGTAAAGACTCAATTCTACTGCAAACAGGCCAGTTCTGATCTACATAAGACTGGCTTCTAGTGATTCTCGAACATAACCAGATAAACGTACATTTACTGTAGAAACATCTTCAGTTTTTCCATGATTTGCACGGGAAGATAAAGAGGAAACAGCTCTCCTTACATTCAATTTGAGTTTGATTTCGATTACACGTGTTTCTATTCCTGTTCTGGGAAGCCCCGCCCACTTTAAAATCTGATTGGTTCAAATCATCAAGTTCATTCCTATTGGCTGATCTAAACGCTCACTCACAAGCTCACTAGTCAAGAAACTTAGTCACCAAATAAAGCATGTTTTTTAATCTCCCATTGGCAGAAAGATGAATATACTGCGAATATTCAACATAAAGTCAGTGAGTGAGAGTCAGACATGCAGAGGTTTGTTTGTTGACGCTGGTTGTGTTTGTTCTCGGTTGCTATGTGTCCTTTCTCTTGGACTTCTTCTGCACGACTAAACAGAAACAGAACACGCAGTCATTTACCTTCAGTGAAGTGTGTGTGTGTGTGTGTGTGTGTGTGTGTGTGTGTGTGTGTGTGTGTGTGTGTGTGTGTGTGTGTGTGTGTGTGTGTGTGTGTGTGTGTGTGTGTGAGAGAGAGTGTAGCTATGTGTCTGTGTGTGTGTGAGAGAGTGTAGCTATGCGTGTGTGTGTGTTTGTGTGTGTGTAGCTATGTGTGTGTGTGTGTGTGTGTGTGTGTGTAGCTATGTGTGTGTGTGTGTGTGTGTGTGTGTGTGTGTGTGTGTGTGTGTGTGTGTGTGTGTGTGTGTGTGTGTGTGTGAGAGAGAGTGTAGCTATGTGTCTGTGTGTGTGTGAGAGAGTGTAGCTATGCGTGTGTGTGTGTTTGTGTGTGTGTAGCTATGTGTGTGTGTGTGTGTGTGTGTGTGTGTAGCTATGTGTGTGTGTGTGGCTATGTGTCTGTCTGTGTGTGTGTGTGTGTGTGTCTATGTGTGTGTGTGTGTGTGTGTGTGTGTGTGTGTGTGTGTGTGTGTGTGTGTGTGTGTGTGAGAGAGTGTAGCTATGTGTCTGTGTGTGTGTGAGAGAGTGTAGCTATGCGTGTGTGTGTGTGTGTGTGTGTGTGTGTGTGTGTGTGTGTGTGAAGCTATGTGTGTGTGTGTGTGTGTGTGTAGCTATGTGTGTGTGTGTGGCTATGTGTCTGTCTGTCTGTGTGTGTGTGTGTGTGTGTGTGTGTGTGTGTGTGTGTGTGTGTGTGTGTGTGTGTGTGTGTGTGTGTGTGTGTGTGTGTGTGTGTGTGTGTGTGTGTGTGTGTGTGTGTGTGTGTGTGTGTGTGTGTGTGTGTGTAGCTATGTGTGTGTGTGTGGCTGTGTGTGTGTGTGTGTGTGTGTGTGTGTGTGTGTGAGCTCCTTTGTGAGCAGCAGAAAGAAACTGTCTGACTGGAGTTAACGCCCACAACATGATCGGCTTATTTCACAAAAACACTAAAAGAGATTGATGTTCCTTCAGACGTAACAGGACAAGATCCTACAGACAAACTGTGGAAAAATAAATATGACACAGGCGACAGTGTGTGTGTGTGTGTGTGTGTGTGTGTGTGTGTGTGTGCTGAAAGAATATGAACGACAGGGGAAAGAGTGTGGAAAATGTGGCTTAGGAGTTTATAAATGAGTTTTAGTTTGAGTTAATGGAGCGTGAGACAAAACTACAGAGAAAAGATTCCTCTGATGAACTCTATAGACCAGGTGTGCTTTATTCAACAGGTGTGTGTGTGTGTGTGTGTGTGTGTGTGTGTGTGTGTGTGTGTGTGTGTGTGTGTGTGTGTGTGTGTGTGTGTGTGTATAGAGATCACCAGATGAATTACTCTACAAACACAAACACATTCATGGGTTTTTCATATTATATAAAGACTAGTATTTACTAGTAAAATTAACTATATATATATATATACACACACACATACACACAAATGGTGGTGATGGCGCAGTGGATAAGACACATGCCTTTGGTGTGAGAGACCCGGGTTTGAATCCACTGCGAGACACCAATGTGTCCCTGAGCAAAACACTTAACCCCTAGTTGCTCCAGAGGCGTGCAACCTCTGAAATATATAGCAATTGTAAGTCG